ACAATGGAATCCTTGATGGAAAAGAACTATTTTCTGGTAATTCATTTGGATACCGCAAAGAGCATGAAGTCTGTGTCCCAAGTGCACCTGTACCCCCTCCTGTACCCCCTCCTGTACCCGCTCCTGTACCCGCTCCTGTACCCGCTCCTGTACCCGCTCCTGTACCCGCTCCTGTGCCCCCGCAAGATGTGCCTACTCCCGTGACGTTTTCTCCAACGGAAGCAACTACCTCGAGCAGCTGCGAGGACGACAGCACGTTTCGGTTCAAGAACAAAAAGAATAAGATGTGCGGCAGCAAAAGATGGTTGCAAAAATTCGCTGGCAACCTGAACAAAAAGAACACGCGGAAGCTCAAAAAACAGTGCAAGAAGAAGTCGGATGGAAAACGCGTCTTTGACTTTTGCCGCGCTACCTGCGCCGTGGTTGGCCTGGGCCCGTGCTCCTAGATTTCTGTTGTGTCGCAGGAATGCACGGTGCAACGGGTTGGCTTTGGTTTTCTTTGTGCCGAGCGGTGGCGACCGGGAACGCTGGTGACGAAGGCAGTCGTCCCCCCCGGACGGGCAAATCCCTTCGGTAGCGCTGCCATCTCAGAGAGAGAGAGAGAGAGGAAAAGCAGAAGAAGGCACGGTACGTACGTGTTTTGTTTCGCACACAATCGAAGATCGAATCATGTTTCGATACGACTAGCGCCGCGCACTAGTTGCGGAAATGGTATGTAGTCTGTTTTTCAGTAGCATTATGTGTTAAAATATCTGTAACGGAGATACTGCCAATACACCTAGCTAGTAGTTGATATATTCGCTGTTGATCCTGACCGGGAACCGGTTCCCGAGCAGTACCTCTGGGTGACCGTCCCCGGGGTTGCCGTAGCAAATCGAACGGTATTCCTCGTACTCCTCGTCGGTGAGTAGGCATCCGTCGAGTGTCTCCCTGATGAGGGCCTGCTTCGAGACCTGGCCAAATCCCAGACCGATAAAGACCACCTCCTGGCGGCGGTCTCCGACCGACTTGGGGGCCGAAGCCGCATCGCCACCGTCCGCGGTTCCCTCGCTGGGGTGTTGCACGTCGTCGAAATCCGCCAGGACGTATTCGTCGACCCCCTCCGGCCACTGGTTCCGGGGGAGGGTGGCCCACCACTGACCCAGGCACTTGTATTCGAAGCTGGCACCGGCGTGGCTCCAGTACATGCTGTTGGAATGGGAATCGGCGCTCCAGCAAAAGCCCTTGGACCGCAGGACGGCTCCGAGAACGTCCCTCGCCTCATCCGAGACGACCAGGTCAGCCTTGGATTCGTCCTCCGCCTGGTCGTTTTGCTCGGGAAGGCCCCTGGCAATGGGCAGGGTCCGCAGAAACGATAGCATTCGATCGGGGTGAAAGGGCCGACGGGCCCTGTACACCATGGTTCCGATCCCGGCGTGCGTCGAGTTCTCCTCGTGGTCGTGCGAATGCGCATGGGAATGCGAATGTGAATGTGAATGCGAGTGGGAATGCGAGTGATCGTGGTCGTGGGTTGGATCGGTGCACCCGGGATCGTTGCATTCCGCGGCAACCGACGGAGACGCCGAGTGATCGTGGGAGTGGGAATGGTCGTGGGTTGGATCGGTGCAGRCGGGATCGTTGCATTCCGCTGCAACCGACGGAGACGCCGAGTGATCGTGGGAGTGGGAATGGTCGTGGGTTGGATCGGTGCAGACGGGATCGTTGCAGGCCTCCCCGCCGGAATCTGCCGAGTGATCGTGCGAGTGCGAGTGCGAGTGATCGTGGTCGTGCGAGGAAGCATCGCTGCTGCCGGGGCTGTCTTCTTCTCTTTCGAGACCCGCGCTTCCCCCAACGGCCGCTACAAACTCGCGGTGGTCGTCGACGGCACCGGAAATCACGACCCCCTCCCCCCTGGCCACCCCAAGAATCGACTCCGGGGAGACCCTTCCGTAGGAGGATTCCAGCACCGTGGTGGTCGGGCGGGGATTCAGCGCCGAGACGAGCTGCTTCAGACGAAGGAGCTTGGCGCTGCCGGCTTCCGGGTCGGGGCTCTCTGTCTCGCCGGCTTCGCGGACCAGGTCGCACTTGTTGAGGAGAATCACGTCGGCGGTTTCCGTCTGGCTGACCAGCAGATCGGAAACCCCGTCGGCTTCGGCAACGGTCTGCCCCCGGTGGCCCAGAATCGCCCGTAGCAACTCCGGTGGGACGTCCTCCATCCATTCCTCCATCTCCGGGGGCAGCGCGTTCTCGTCGCCGTCCTTCACCCCAAAGAGCTCCGGGGTTTCCGCCAGGGAGGCGGATTTTTCCGACGCAAAGTAGGTCTCGAACATCTCGGCGTCCACCACCGTGACCATCGTGTCCAGGCGCGCCCTTCCCATCAGCGCCATCCCGGCTTCCTCTGCTTCCTGGAAGGTTGCCCGTATGTTTCTCGGGTCCGAGACGCCGCTCATTTCCACCACGATGTGCTTGAAGGGTTTCAGGTGCTTCGTGTTGGGGTTGGAATTCGAATCTTGATTCGAGTTGCCCCTCCTCAGATCGCTCAGGGTGACCAGCTGGGAAATGCTGGCCAGCAACTCGTCGCTCAGTGCACAGCAGGCACACCCGTTCTCGAGCTGGACCAGGCCGTCGCTGCTGGCCCCGTTTGGATTGCTCCCGTCGTTCTGGTTCTGGTTCTCGTTCTCGATGATCTTGACGAGTTTTCCGTCAATGTTAACGTCGGCAACGTCGTTCACGATGATTCCCACGGGACAGTCCCCCGATTTGTTTTCCAGCAGGTGCGTCAGCAGGGTGGTCTTTCCCGATCCCAAAAATCCGGAGATCACCGTGATGGGAATCACTCCGTCGTCGCTGGATGCTTCCGCTTCGGGTTCCATCGACACGCCCTTCTCGGCGGTAGAGCAGAGCCAGGTCTTTCCGTTGCTTCCTTTCCCCCTGGGGTTCGTCGCAGCAGACGCCGCCGCCGACGCCGTTGTGGCCGTGGTAACGGCAAGCGATGGGCCCACCGAGGAAAAGGCCGAAATGGTGGCGCTGTTGCTCATGGCCAGAGCCACGAGAGCAAGCAGAAGAATCTTGTTGGGAGGATTCATTCTCGTTGTCGCCGTTGCCGTTGTCGTTGCCGTTGTCGTTGTCGTTGTCGTTGGTGATACGGTGCGTATCGGTAGGCCCTTTCGAAGTTTGAAACGGTGCGTTGTTTTTGTTTCTGTGCAAGACCTGAGGAAGAGACTCTCAAGAGGTGTTGCCGTGGAGGTTTTGTGGCTCCGAATATTGGTTTGTCACTAGTGTTGAGAACCCGGGGATCCAGTACTCGTACCAGTTTCGGCAGGGTGCATGCAACGAACCTCGTGCCACTGTGAATGCTTTCTGTGTGGTTATGGATTGTTGTACTGTACCGTACCATACTGTACTGTACTTAATTTTGGATTCCGTCGCCTTGGTCTGCGTTGCTTCCGTCGGGTGACAGAAAGATAGCCTCGTAGGACTGCGTAGCTGGTACTCGTAGGTTCCTCGCACTATCTCGTACCGGATTTTTTACGGTTTGTGCAAAAAAAGGCCATTTCCCATTTCTTTCACATCACAACCTCTGTCGACACATCATCATCGTCACCGCACCGTTCCGGCCGACGATGGCCTAATTTCTAATTTTTGATTCGCACGGCCCCCTGGAACCCATGCGCGCGCTTCCCCCTTTTGAGGTCCACATTTAGGGGGCAGGATCTGATGGGGTGTTTTGCACGAAGAACAAACCACGTTCTTCGTGCGTACGAACCGGTATGAATATGAACTGAACTCCGAGATCGAGACGGGAAATCCACCGTTTGGTTCCATTATTTGTCGTGTTTTGGTCGTACTTGGCGTATATGGCGAACAGAGAAGCAAGCAATCCTTGCCTTCTATATACGAGTACGAGTACCCCTGCTACAAGTGCACAGAGGTCGAGAGGTCGCACATGGCATCATTCTGGAAATTGCCACCAATACTCCTTGATGATCTGCGCTGTTCCAGAGGCTACGGTAAAAAGAAATGAAGCAATAATAATAAATGATGCAAGTAAAAATAACTACACTAAATACGTTGCCCCATGCGCCATGCGAAGAACAAATGCTAACGAAATCAAACGGTTTCTTCAACACGGTTTGTACCGTTGGACGGCATTGGATTGCTCTCGTTCCTTTCGTGACGGTATGTTGATCCTGGTTGTTCCCTGGGGCATCTTAGAACCGCATAGAATCGACTCGAGTCGTACCATCGTACCGTACCGTACCGTACGGTACTCGTACTCGTATCGTGCCAAACAAACACACCTTCCGTAACAGCTGTCTGACAAGCACTAAACTCTCGAATGCGTCAGTTCTGAATCGAAACGAAACGAATCGAACCGCACTATCATTCGCATCGTACGAGTACCGTGTGGCTCGCGCACCGTTGCTCGGTCCGTGTGTGGTGTGCGATTGCAAAGTGGCCACCACTAGACTCGTGGGAGCAAGCTCCATCTCGATTTGATGCGTTCGTGCTTTCTTGCGTTGGGGGGCTTGTTAGAGCAGCGCAAACGGCCTGTCGACTTTGTGAAAGAATGACAATGAAAAAGATAGTTTGGAAGGTCGTTCTGTTTGACATATCATAGCGGCGCCGTGGATGCGATTTGTCTTGATTCAGACGGTTGTAGTTGACCTTTTCTATTGTTGGTTTTCCCGCAAGAACAGATGCGACGGCATCTGCTATCCCACGCCGTGCAAATCCTCGGTCCATTATTATGCGACGCATGCACGCAATTCTAGCCGCTGCCTCTGGACTTTGCTTCTAGGGCGAACTCAGAGTTCGAATGCCCAACCATTCTTTTTACTTCAGCAATTCATGAAAATTTTGCATAATTAGTTGAATACTAGTAGTACTAATTTACAACAACTGCGAAAACTGTATTTAGAGTGCAGTAGGTGTCAAGTATCCCAAGCTTTTCGTGATTCAAATTTATATCCCCCCCTTCGACAGAGCGAAATCTTTGTACTGTCAACTCTTGCTCCCAGCATTTGATTGTCAAACGATGATCTTTAATGATGTGCCGATACACGCGCAAAAAGTGTGAACGTGTGATGCTTTGTGCTTGCACCGGAGATTTCTTCTGTGTGCGGTATACTGTTGGCGCTTGCTATTACGGTCGTTGGTCCTCAGTGAACCTCCCATCTCCAGTCGCCTGCTTAGTAGTCAACGAGGCTACGACTGGAGTCCACAACCTTGTCTGTAACAGCACAGGTTCATGGTAAAATGACATCCTGTGCATAGAATTCGGGAGCTGGGAAAGCGACCATGCAGGAGAGAGCTGCAGTCCGTATTCAACAGAGCGAATGCGACTATTACATTGGTATAACTATGTCTTCTTCCTCGTCTTCCAGGGCGCTGCTGTCTTCTTGTGGGGGCTTCGGGAGCGGGTCGTCTGGGTCACATGTATCCCCCGTTGGCACCCCGTCATCGTTGAGCCACCTCATCCGTCTCGTTCCTGGCATGCCACTCGTTCTTCTTGGGTCGCGAGGGTCATCCTCCTCGCAGTCCTGTCCCTCGTAGTGTAGCAAACCACAATGCCACTTTCCACCAAAGCACTGACAGCTGTAGGTAGCCACGCACTGGATTACTTCAAAGGTGCACCCGATGTACTTAAACCGGTAGTCGCATACTTTCAGGTCCTTCTCTGGCGGGCACAGGGGGGGAGTGGCCACGTCCTTCACAAAGTCGTAGTTGGGGCAGCCGTCCTCCCCTTCGTCTTCGTCCCCCGTTCCCGTAGTGATGTAGTCCTTGCACGCGCACTCACAATACTTGAGGGCGCTTAAGCGTTTCCTCCTCCACTTGACTTTCTTTTCACCATTTTTTTTGATGACGAACTTCCTCTTAACCCTGTGCTTTTTTTTCCTACACCTCGTTTCCTTTTGTTTTCCGACCCACTTGCAGAACGATATTTCTTTAATTTTGTTCGTTCTTATGGTGATAGCTTTGTCTTTGCATGTAGCACCATCAGCGGCCACAAAAATAAAACTTGGAGAGCCATAGGTTGATCTGCTCACCCATGAACCATTGAAAGTGGTGGCGATGTCTAACAGCACCCAAAGGAGCGCGCACCGCCTCGCTATCCATACGATCGATAGCACTCTGGAGTTGCTGTCCCTATTGATAGATGCCATCTCCTTGAAGAGAATATACTGCGTGAGCGTAGAGAAAGTTTCGCGGAAGGAGTGAAAATTGTATGTTGTGGTTGCCTCGTATCGAGTAATTCAAATTATACCTTCCCTGGGATAGGCGATATTTGATACAAAACACTTCTTACAGTATTTTCCGTTGTTTCCAAAAAAAGTAACTGTCTCGTCGTTTTTTTTATCGTGCGTGAGATTACACGAGAGGAAGCGCTTGGTCTGAAATGGATTAAATATCAAGTAGTTGCGTTTCGTACTCAGACTATCAATGTGTTATTTTTAATAGAAGAACCACGCGCATTCGGTCCATTCTTCATTTCAGCAGGATGAAGAAAAATCTCTGAAGTTTTATTTAGGAAACTATTTATTTTTTGATATAATCTGAAGATATTATAAAATATCGACGCCGATTGTCAATTACAATTTTTGGGCTGGTCTAAATAATATTTTTAAGTTTTATGACTTTCATGATATTTTCACACTAAGTTTTTGGAGTTCCGAATCTATGCTTACAGGAATCATAAATTAGTTTTATCAGTGACATAAGAGCTTATTCACTTACTTCCACTTTGTATGCGACGAATAATGGTCATCATTTCATAATGCCTTTCATCCTTAAATGTCACAATATTGTTTTTCACTTAATAATATCAGTACGCAAAGTGCATGTCGCGTACAAAGCAAACATCATTCTGTCAAGATAAAAATAATAGAGGACTGGTTCGCCAAAACTTATTATTATTGTAAAAACTTTTTATGTCAATTTTTTTGAATGGTACTCTTGAAACTTCCGAGTTGATCTAAGAGTGTCTTTTATGTTCCAGTGGAGAAGATAATGTTCTTCGTGAGTGTCCCACCTAATAAAAGAACCGCTGCAACGGTCAGATTCGGCGCTAAATTTGTCATCTATGAAGAATTGAGATCACGAAGAGAATCGGTTCGCACTCATCGGTTTCGAGGAAACTGCATAGACCTGACCTTCCATTCATTCGCAGGTGCACCAGTAGAAGGCATATTTAAAAGATTTGAGCGAGTCATACGACTGAATGAACTCTTCGGTTTCTAAACAAATACTACTAGGTACGTACCTCTACGCTACTCGTAGGTTTACTTTTTGTACTACGTATTGTACTTGATTAATTTCGGTCGCCAACATTTTCACGAAATTTTGGAAGGTCTCCTCACTGTCCTGGATTAGATAGGTGACGGTAAAATCGTCACGTTGGAGTTCCTAATACCGGTACTAATATTATCTTCAACTTTTATCTTCAACACCTTGTTTTAATTGTTTGGGTTTCGTGTTGCGTGGTATCTTCTCAAACACGGTACGAGTAGCATCACAAGAAGGTAATGTACTGGTAGAAAATACGTTACTACCGTTCTGTATTAGTAGTAGTTTAAGTACCGTAGGGAAGGACTGTACGAGTACCAAAGTTTTGCTACCGATGTCTCAAAACGGTCGGAGGAGTCCTCTGGATCTCAAAATAGGTAGAAATACCGTACGTAGGATAACACACCCATTAGTCCCACTCCATTTACCATTGTACTTACCTGTGCTACAAATTTTGTGGTAGAGATTCTACTGTGCAGCCATCTTGAATTTTCTAGTTTGATCGCATACATACCTCTTTTGGTTCCCCAATACAGCAGTGCAAATTAAACTGAGAAGAATATAACGAGCTTGCAACTCCTCCCTCTTCTTGTTGGTGTTGACTCCTCATGTGAGGTGAGGTGTTGTTTTTGCAGCTCACAAAATAAAGCGTACGCAACAAGAAGAAGCTCCTCAAATTGCAATTGCAAACAGAAAGAATACATGGAAACTAGTACTGGTGGTGGTGGTGAGAACAAGCAAGAACAATAAATGGTAACAGCACCACAAGAAGTGCAACAGCAATAGGCGCATCACCCCCTCCTGCTTGCCAGGAAATGCAGGGGGGAAACTGTGAGGCCTCCACAAGAAGTGAACCAGCCAGGGCAATGGAGTACTAGTAGGAGATACCACAAGATTCTACTGGAGCTAATGGATCATGTGGAGGGCCCAGTTGATGAAGGAGGCCCTGTCGAAAAGAACAATACTACTTGGTTTCCAAATGGAGGAATCTCTCTGTACAAGCCGCTGCTGCAAGGGACAGGAGTAACTGACAAGTAGCTTGCTTCTTCAGTTGCACCACCAGCAATTGCTAGTACTAATGTGTTTGGTAATCTTTGCTTTGGGCCTGCTTTGATCCAGCAATGCATGCCTCAGGATTGATTCCCAAGGACGTGAAGAATAATGTTGTTGCTTCCTGGATTCAATTGAACCACAGACACCCAGTTGCTGATAAGTTAGATCTTGATGCAAACCCTATCAAGAGAGTAGTAGAACTGGCGATTGTCAATGAGATTAGTGGAAAGGTTCACTTTGTTGATGAGCTTGCAGAACCGGATGATCTGCTGGAGGTGGAGGCAGAGGAGCCCTTGGAGCTTCTCGAGGGCTTGTCAGAATTTGGAGGACTTAGTAGTAGTTGCAGTGGTGGAATCATGCCATGTTTTGAAGGCTGTTTGCCACAGCTAACAATGAAGTGAATGATGTTAAGAATAGGGAGATTGCCATTGAAGCAAGCCACTGAAGCAAAGTTTAGTAATTGGAAGCTGAATTAAGCAACTGAGTATTAATCTAAAAGAGCTACAATGGCGTCAGTCACAAGAAGGAGGCCATGGGCTGTAAACAATGGCGTGCTCTAAGGCCTGATAGTCTAGACATGCTGTAGTGTTGTCAACACTTCTTCTTGTTCTTTGTTGAGTGTCTTTCTTACTACTTCTTGCCCCCCCCCCCATATTAGTAGTACTAAAGTATATGTTGACTGGTGTAGTAAGCAATTTGTGTAGCTGCTATCCTCAACAAGAGGACCACATTTAATAGCTTGTTACAAAAAGTGTCAGTGATCTGAGGTGATTGTCAAGAATTACCTTCACAACTTGTGCTTTTTCACAGAATTTGCCTTGTGCACAATTGTGTGAGTACTTCTTATCAATCATCCTGATACTCTAGCAGTCCAGTCTTGCTGCACACTGCTGCCTTGTAAGACCTTACGTGGATTACTATGTTCTTCATCCTAGTACAGGGTTGATATTTTAGTTATATTTTCTTTGTGCACTGGTTGAGAACTGGCGCCGCAACTAACACTAATCAATGATGAATCCATACATATGTAACCATTGAGTAGCACCAAAATTACATGTACCCACGTGCCCTTGGTTACCGGTGTGTATTACATCATAGTACTAGTAAAACTAACACCACTAACAGACACTAGTTATTTTTTGCCTAAAGAATACATGCACCTCAAGCTTTTTATGTTACATAACTGTGGTGCAATGTAACCAGAGTTTTGTACCTATTGAGGTCTGTGTTAGTATCACAGGAAGAGCTTTGTACTGTGTGTGCAAGAAATTCAGCAGCTTGAGAACACCTGGTTACATTCTTCTTGGTACACTAGTAACATCACTGAGATTGGGAGCTTGCTTGAGACCAAAGTGAGGTTACTCCAAGTATTGTCACCAAGTTTGAAAGCTTTAGCTCACCAAGAGCTTGTTGATGATACTTGATGCATGGGAGGGGAGTGATGCCACAGTTATTTGCATAATCGATTGAGTACCAGCGCCATAATTACATGTACTATACAAGACAATGCACCTCAACAGATGGTACACTGCTGTTAAGAGCAAAAAAGAAAATAAATTGGGAACTAGTAGTTACAAACTTGTGTAGAAAATACAGTAGAAATCACAGTATCCTACACATCAGCAACTCATATCATAAAAGCAGCTCCTCTGTATGTATTGTATCAGCATCCTCTATATCATAGAAGCTTCCTCTGTATGGTACAAATCACGGGAGTAGACTGGTGTGGATTTTGGTCAAAATGGAAGTGTTTTTATTGTGCATTCAAAATCCTACTGAGGCCTACTGTGGTCGAACTACTAACTTGCCTTCAGATCACCACTAGCAAGAACAGTTCTTTTCATTTACAAAAAACTTGGTTCAAAGCAACCAACCATGGGAATAGTTCTACAAGCATTTACACTTGTCAACCTTTTGTTCTCATGTACTACTAAGTGGTATCAATGGATAGATCTCTTCCACAAGTGTTGATTTAACAAGCCTCGAACTGTACAAAAGGAGGACCCAGTAGAAGTATTGTTTTAGTCTCAACAATATCAACAAATAGCAATCAGCTCCCCCCTGTGTATGATAAATATACAAGAGAAAGAAGCAAGAGACAGTATCCTACAGCTTAGGGATCCGACAGAAGACCCCCCAGACAAGGATGAGTTGCAGGATTCCTCTTCAGATGATGATTTGTCAGTTTCCTTTTCAAGCTGCTGCTGGTCCTCTGCCAGCTCCAGGGGAGCTAGTACCATCCACTGTAAATCATCCAGAGTATGTATCTCAAGCTGGGTGAAAAGAAGGAGGAGCTCCTTGTGCAAATCAAGGGGATCAAATTCACTCATCTCAATATTCTGGTCTTTCCAGGGGAGAAGGCCTTTCCATTGAGACAATAACTAACTGATCTAATAGATGAACTGAAGATGACTTGCCACATCAAATCAAGGATTACAAGGAACTGGAAGCTCCACTATGTGGCTGCAGCCATGGAGACAAGGAAGGACCTCCTGAAGGAGAGGAGCAAATTAGGACTAGAAACAAGGGGCTTGCGGAGTAGAAGCACTGACCAGACCCCATCTGAGTTCTAGTCAGTGACAACAGCAATAAAGAGGGCAATAAAGAAGAAGAAGAAGAAGGCCAACAGCAGGGCAGCTGTCAACACAGGGGGGGGGGAGGAAGGGGTACATGGATTTGCAGACCAATGGCCCAAAGATCCAAGGCAGGATCAAATTTGATATCGAGAAGCTTGATCCTTTGTCTTGTCATGTTTGGAACACCATATCTACCATGTATACTGACATGCTGGAGGATGTCAGGGTGGCGAATGAGGCAAGGCAGTATTACCGTTTCACAGTATGATCACTGTCAATATCAGCATCAATACCACTAGCAATATCATTAGCAATATCATTAGCAATATCATTAGCAATATCACTAGCAATATCACTAGCACTAGCAATATCAATGAGAATAGCAATATCAATAGTAGCAATGAAAATAGCAATAACAACATCAATAGCAATATCAATGGCAATAAGAGTAGAAA